GAATATATTCTGTATTCCCTTCATTGAATTTTTTTAGTTCAAGAGTTTCTGCTTTTTTTTCTTATAGTATCTCTCGCCTTGGGTAAATTTCTCATTCATTTCCTGGACTGATTTTCCAATCTTTGTATTGATTTTCAGATTTCTCCTGCATCTTGTAGGGCTTTATAAAATCAACATTTTGAATTATTTATCTGGCATATTGAGGGATTCTTTTTGATTGGGATCTGTTGCTGGACAATTATTGTGATCCTTTGACGATGTCATGATTTTCTCCTTTTTTGTGTTTCCTGTGTCGTTTCATTGATATCTGCAAATCTTGTGTAGTAGTAGCTTGTTAAAGTTTTTTTTTGTTTTGTTTTGTTTTTTTTTTTTTTTTTTTTTTGAGACAGAGTCTCGCTCTGTCACCCAGGCTGGAGTGCAGTGGCGCAATCTCGGCTCACTGCAAGCTCCGCCTCCCGCGTTCCCGCCATTCTCCTGCCTCAGCCTCCCGAGTAGCTGGGACTACAGGCGCCCGCCACCTCGCCCGGCTAATTTTTTTGTATTTTTTTTTTTTTAGTAGAGACGGGGTTTCACCGTGTTAGCCAGGATGGTCTCGATCTCCTGACCTCGTGATCCACCCGTCTCGGCCTCCCAAAGTGCTGGGATTACAGGCTTGAGCCACCGCGCCCAGCCCTCAAGTTTTTTAAAATTGTTTTTGTAGGAGAAATTTTTTTTCCTGAAAAATGTATGTATGTTGTTGTTGAGTTAGGATACTTTGGCTTTCATTCTGGTGCCTATGGTAGTGTGATCTTAGTATGACTTCATAGGCGGTACCCACGGTCACTGGTATCTTTGATTTCCTTGGTAGCTTAGAGTAGTTATTACTTGAGATTGTGGAAAAATTTAGCTGGGTATTGGATGCCAACTGAGCCCATCTTTGGGCCCTGGTGGTGGCAGCAGCTTGGAGAGTGTGGCCTGACCCCAGAGCAGCCTACACTGGCTTTGGTATTAGTGAGTCCTGGGAGGCTGATTCTTGAGCTTCTTAGTGGCTTGCTTAGAGGGTAGTCATGGAAGTTGGGACAGGGACATGGGCAAGTTCTCAGACCCCTGGGAAGCACACCCTGGTGTGATATGGTTGACAGCAGTAGCGGTGGTGGAGCAATCCACTAGGACCCAGGCAGTCCATGTTGGTGTTGCTGGTAGATGCAATGGGTTGGGTGGGCTACTCCCCAGTCCCACAGCATCCTGTAGCAGGTGTGGTGGTATTGTCCCTAAGTGTGCTTAGGAGAGCTTGTTCTCCCCTGTCCCTTCCCCATCTGGGTGGCATTACCTCACACTTGGCAAAAAGGGGGACACAGCCCAACATTAAACTCTTGCAATTGTGCCTGCTGTGGGCTTGTGACCAGAGAGGGCAGGCAGCACCAGAGCTTCTATTGTCTTCTCTGTTGAATCCCTTCTCTTCTCTGAAGAATCCGAGCAATCTTTCCTAGATAATCTGTTTAAAATGGAGTTCCTCTCCATGAAGAAGGCCATGCTACCTGCATCTGGTCAGTCATCTTGATCACTTTCTACATTTAAGAGGCACAGCATGTTAAAAAGAAAATTAGTTCCCTTAGGAATTGTTATTTACCTAGCCCTCCCAGTCAAGAAGTGGTCTGCATTTTAAAGGATTTTAATGCTTTTTTTCACTCCCCAGTGATTTCAGGGAATTGGGTTTGTTAAAAATGTTTTCTTTAGGGTTAATAGTTTTTATTCATGGATGCTTGTTCCAATAGAAGTCACTTAACATTCCAGAAGAAACTTCATCAGTGCACTTGGCAGCTGATATCTTTGTCCCTCTTGGGGGAAAAAAAAAAAAAAAAAGTTGTTCGGGCATGGTGGCTCATCCCTGTAATCCCAACCCCAACACTTTGGGTGGCTGAGGCGGGCAGATCACCTGAGGTCAGGCCGTTCAAGACCAGCCTGGACCACATGGCGAAAACACCATCTCTACAAAAGTACAAAATTAACCAGGCCTGATGGTGGGTGCCTGTAATCCCAGCTGCTCAGTAGGCTGAGCACGAGAATTGCTTGAACCCAGGAAGCAGAGTTTGCAGTGGCTGAGATCGTGCCATTGCACTCAGCCTGGGCGACAGAGCAAGACTCCATCTCAAAACAAAACAAAAAAACTGTTCATCCCTGTCATCTATCCAACTTCTTTCCCATGTCTGGACTCCTAAGTCTTGCCATTTTCCTGGTAGGGAGGAACTTCATGGCCATGGATGTGAGTTATCCAAACCTCAGAAAAAAAGAATCTTGACTTTCTTCTCTTCTTTGACCTTCTTCACTCTATTTCAGCCAACATTCCCACAGCCCCACCCTAATCCTTGTCATAACTCTGAAATGTGAAACACAGACATTTCACTCTCTGACCACAACCACTACTATCCAACTCCCCCACTACTTCATTGCCAAATGGCCTGAGGGGTAATACTGGCCCACGAGGTCTTTGGGTTAAGTTCCAAAGAGTGCAAACACTATAGAAATCAAGTCTCCCTCCTATTAAAATACTTTTTTTCTAAACATTTTTGAACCTTTTGTTACATGTTTACATGAAAGTATTTGAAGAACACAAGAGATTACAAGCAGTTTTTCTAATGTTTCATAAAGAAAAACAGGTGGGCCTGGCAGTCCAAAGTAGTGATTAACAGCATGAAATTTACATTCACAGCCAGGCGTGGTAGCTCAAACCTGTAATCCCAGCACTTTGGGAGGCTGAGGTGGGCGGATCACCTGAGGTCAGGAGTTTGAGGTTTGAGACCAGCCTGACAAACATGGTGAAACCCCGTCTCTACTAAAAATACAAAAATTAGCTGGGGCTGTGGTGGCTGTAAATCCCAGCTTACTCGGGAGGCTGAGGCTGCAGAATCACTTGAACCCAGAGACAGAGTTTGCAGTGAGCTGAGATCGCGCCATTGCACTGCAGCCTGGGCAATGAGAGCAGAAGAGCAAAATTGCATCTCAAAAGAAAAAAGAAAGAACAAAAGGAAAGAAAGAAAAGAAATGAAAGAAAGAAAAGAAAAGAAAGGGAGAGGAGAAAGAAAAAAAGAAAGAGGAAGAAAGAAAAAAGAGAAAGAGAGAAAGAAGAAAGAAATTTACAGTCATACAAAACCATACTAAGACTCTACCCTCATCAGCTGTGGAATGCAGAAGCAAGTCACTTATGACCGACTTTGGGGGCCTTACCTAACTCATTTGCAAATGGAGATGATTAAAGCTAACCTCACAGTCTTGCAATGAGGAGTTTAAGATTATGCTCATAAATCTTCCCACAGTTCAGGGGCTTTTTTCAAGCAGACACCTGGAGCTGGGCTAGGACTGTTTAATCCAAACACAGATGAGCACGGAAAACATCAGATGTTCAGCTGTATGCAACATGGCCCACAAGCCTGCACAGACACACCCAGAATGCACACATGAAAACATCCCACATACTTACATGTAGTCACCCGTTGTGAATGTGTACACACAAATATGAATATGCAGTATACATCTTGTTTTAACACAGAAATGCCACATTGTAGACACCCCTAATCATGTGTACACACATGCTGTATGCAGAGACAGACAAAAAGACTGGCAAGCATTGAGAAACAGTGGCACACCCCGTCAGGCACACACACACATGTGCATGTGTAGACATAAGTTGGAATGGATACCCATTATCAGGCACAAACATACACCCCACAAAGCCTGGCACACACACAAATTCATGTATCAACATGGACATACTGAAACATACATGCACATAGACACTACAAGCATGCACCCAGAGTGACACACAGACGGTTGTATAAATGAGGATAAACATGGCAGAGGCATCCAGGAGAACCCATTGGACAAAATGGCACAAAATACAAAGATGCAGGAGCACACAGGGTGATTGAGGGGAACACTGACTTGCAGGAAAGGAGAAAAAGAAAGATAGAGACGGGATCCAAGACAAGTGTAGACAGACAGGTGGGCAAAGTCCTGTGCAGGGCTCCAGGGCCAACCAGAATAACCTGAGAGTCTAATGCTGGCCTGTCCTTCTGCAGATACTGCCTAACTCAGCACCACGCTCCAGGAGGCCGTGAAGGATTAATTTCCTATTCACAGCTCCATGGGGTAAATCTTGGCTGTGCTGAGGAAGGGATGGGGAAAGAGGTTCCCAAAGACTCTGTCCCTTTCCTCCTTCCCAAAGGAAAAGATTTGGGAGCTTTAGACTAGAGAATGTAAAAGCAGGGAAGGTGCTTAGGGAACATCTCATCCATCCACTTCATCCTACAGATTAAAGAGAACAACTACTATTCATTGAGCACTTACTGCCATGTCCTCATCTGCATTAACACATACACTTCTCCCCTAAATAGCCAAAGAGGTAGGAGCTGTTCTTGGCTCCATAAGGCTCACAGAGATAAAGTCAACTGTTCAAAGCCACACAACAAAGAAGGATAAGGTTAGGATTCCAATCCAGGCCTTAATCATTGTACCATCCATCCAGAAAGGGAAACTGAGGCCCAGCAAAGAAAAGGGATCTTCCTGGGTTCAACACTAACTCACTCTGAAAGCCTGTACCCAAGACACTGCCCACTGGGACAAGTCCCTCCCACATGATTTCAGACACCATTCTCTCACTCCACGCTCCAGGGTAATCAACAAGTCCAACATCGATTGACCTCTATGTCCACAAATACTGGAGTTCTCCCAGCCTGTCTCTCCCACCCCTCCCTGGCCAGGTCATGGCAGCCTGCTGACCACTCAGTGCCCTTCCCTGTGCCAACCTCACTGAGAAACAAACTCCCCAAATGTCTGTCTCCCACCTTTTAAGAAACAAGAAGGAAAAGGAGGGGCCAGGCCCAAGTGCAGGCTGGTGACCAGGATTAGAGGGATTGATATCTGCCCAGCTGGTGTTAATCCTCCTTCCCACCTCTTCCCCTCCAAAATCAACAAACAACTTTCCTCTCTCCGCTTGTTCTCTGAACTTTGCTCCCTCCACACAGGTCTCAGAGCTCAGCATCCCAGAACACTTGGAGAAGATGTCAGTCCTGGGGGTGCCAACCTCACCCACCTCCCCTTGTCCAAAGTTGGTGACCCTGAGGACAGGTGCAACCCTGGAATCCAAACATCAGAGCCTGTCCTGTGGCCATCTGGGCCCCTCTCAGGTCTGCTGAGGCTCATCTCAGGCCCACATAGGACCAATCTCAGCACCTGCCTCATGCTCACGTCAGAGCCCACTGGAACCAACCCTATATGGTGCCACTCTTAACCTCCTGAAGCAGGACACTCTTATGCCCTCAATGACACCTGAGACAACACACAGAGCCCTCTTGGCACCAAACATGACTTTAATATTCTTCTGCTGTCAAGTTCAGTGCCAACTTCTTTCCCATCCTCGCGTACACCTGGGGGCAGTCCCAAAGCCAACACGATGCCTCCCCTCCCTGGTCGTACCTGAGGCTGATATCAGAACCCGCCAGTGTCATCCCTGTGTCCACTGCTGATGCCAATCTCAGCACCCACCTCCTGCTAAGCCTGGCCCGCACTTGACTCCCAGGGTGATCTAGGCCAGTCAATGAAGGGACGAGGAGAGAGTTCACATCCCAGCTCCCTCACTTACTCCCTGTGTGACCTCACTCAAGAGGATTTATGGAGTCCAGATCTGCTCATCTTCAAAATGAGGATGATGATGAACCAACCTCATTGTTACAAAGATTCGACCAGATCATACACACCTAGACTTAATCTTCCCATATACGACCGTGCTCACCAAAGGGTAACTGTCCTGTTTACTAAGGAAGAATTTCCCTGAGGGAAGGACAGGAGGCTACTCATCCCTTCTCCACTCCCACCCACCCCAGGCTCTGTCTCTGTGCCTAACACTGGAGTTTACCCCAATCTCTTCTGCGATTGTTCCCTCTGCCTGCTAATAGTAGTAGCCCCTGACAAAGCAGGAATCACCCTTAAAGGAGACTTAACTCACCCTCAAATATGATCTTCTCTTCCTAAATACCCTTTCCACTGGCAGGAAAACCAAATCCACAAAGTGGAACTAAGGACGCAGAGAGGAGAGACGGGAGTTCAGGGCCACTCACGCATGTCCCCTGCCCACTGTCTGTTTTCTGTCCTCTGTAGACCCTTATATAAAATGAGAAACATAAATAACAATAATAATATTCATGGAATGATACAATCAATCTAGTGGGTTTCCCTAAGGATCTGGGTTGGAAACAGTGGAGGTCTTTGTAAATTCCAACCCTTGGGACACTGAGATTTTCCACCATTTGGGGGTTGTTATTACTATTTCTCCAGACCTGGCCAATCCCTCTGCCAACTGATAACTCGAGGTACTCTCCTCCAGTGTGGGGAAAGTTCCCCTGAAATACGGATCCGGTCTTCCACCCTTTCCCAACCAGAGATGTGCAGTGGAGGTTCTATGGCACCCATCCTGGCCTCACTCTGAGGTTCCATGAGGATTCTGGGCATCAAGAGACAGCTCTGGGCCAAAGCAAAATCAAGTCAGTCCTGGGTGCTGGCTGCTGGGCTTTCTGGGAGGAGCTGCTGGGCTTGCTACACACTCCTCCCAGAAACTCCACACCCACACCCTGGTCTTCCTAGCCCCAAGACTCTCAAGTCCATATGCCTGGAATCCCCCCTCCTGAGACCTTAACCTGCATCCTCCTCACCAGAAGACCCCCAAATGCACAGCCACACTTCTGTCTCACCCTAATAAAACCAGACCTTTGGGTTCTCTCCCCTGGAACCCCAAATCCACAACTTTGAGGTGCATTCTCAGTCTCAGACCCAAAATCCAAAGTCCAGGTGCTCCCCTGTGCAAATATTCCAAACTCCTCCGTTCTACAGTTTATCTGATGCCCCCTCCTAATCCACAGCCCTAGGGCACCCTCCTGAAGTACCACAGATTTAGTCTGGAGGCCCCTCCCTGTTCAGCTTACCCTGGGGTCCCCCTCCTCCTCCCTTGCTGCTGTGTCCCAAGCTAGGCGGGATTCATGATGGGGGTGTAGTGGGGAGGTGAAATGAGGTGATTATGTAATCAACCAAAGTCCCTCTTTTTCAGGCAGTATAAAGGCAAACCACCCCAGCCGTCACCATCGATCATCCCACTGCCACCATGCTGGCCTCAGGGCTGCTCCTGGTGGCCTTGCTGGCCTGCCTGACTGTGATGGTCTTGATGTCTGTCTGGCAGCAGAGGAACAGCAAGGGAAAGCTGCCTCCGGGACCCACCCCATTGCCCTTCATTGGAAACTACCTGCAGCTGAACACAGAGCAGATGTGCAACTCCTCATGAAGGTGTCCCAAGGCAGGGAGATGGGTGGCACGGGGTGGGGGCTGCCCAGCTGGCTGGGGCTTTGTGGCAGGGATTGACCAGTGTGGACGAGTCTCAGGAAAGGGAGTTTTGGAGGATCAGCATCAGGGTCCTAGCCAGGAAAGACAGGATCTTGGGATGTCCAGCTCCCTGACTGAGAACCTGGGGACAAGGATCCCAGAGTTGACATCTCGTGCTGGGCCCATTCAGAGGGGGCTGCTCCCTCTAACCACTCCCACCCGCCTCCATCAGATCAGTGAGCGCTATGGCCCGGTGTTCACCATTCACCTGGGCCCCGGCGGTGTAGTGCTGTGCGGATATGATGCCGTCAAGGAGGCTCTGGTGGACCAGGCTGAGGAGTTCAGCGGGCGAGGCGAGCAGGCCACCTTCGACTGGCTCTTCAAAGGCTATGGTGAGGGGGTGCCCAAGAGGGGAAGGTGGCCAGGGACGGATGGTCTCAGTGTCCCCAGCCTTCTCCCTGACTCTCCTGCCCACTGGAGGCTATGGCAGAGCCCCCTGTCTGGTCTTTCTCCCCATCTCCTTCATTGTGGCCTCTCCTGTGTGTCCCTCACCTGTCTCCAGCGTCCCTGTCCTGATTCCTCCCTGCTCTCTCTCCCTCTTTTCTCTCCTCATTCGCCTCACTGGAGTCTCCTCTTTCCCCTCTCTCCATCTCTGAGGACATCCCGGGTTTCTGTTTTCCAACCCTGGTCCTCTGTCTTCATTTGTCTTTTTGTCCTCTCAGCTTCTGTGCTTCTCCGTGTTTCTCCTCTCTCCGCTTCCCTCTCCCACTTCTTCCTCTGTCTTAGGATTTCACAGGTATTCCTACTTCCACATCTCCAGCCTCCATCTCCTGGTAACAGTTGTCCTCCTTCCCAGATCCTCTCTGTTTCTGTCTCCGTTTTTCTCTCTTCTCCAGCTCAGCTTAAGAATCTTTCACCTTTTATTTCCTCCTCCCAGATCTCCCCATATCTACTTCCCCTCCCTCCATCCTCTTCCTCATCTCTCTCTCTCTTTCTCTCCCACTTCCTTCCCTTCCTCCATGGAGTGTCCCTGTATCCTCTGTTTCTCTGGGCATCTGTCTGGCCTTTCTGCTTCTCTTCTGATTCTCTTATTCTTTCTACCCGGTCGGTCTGTCTTCCTCTCTCTCTCTCTCTCTCTCTCTCTCTCTCTCTCTCTCTTCTCTCTCTCTTGTTTCTCTGACTGAGTTTGCAGCTCTCTGGGCACTCCGCTGAATCCATCTCTCTCCCACCCCACTCCCTCTCTGCTCCACCCTTGGGGAGCCCCCTGGAGCTGGTCTGCTCCTGCCCCCCCGCCCCCTGACCTCTCTCCACCCCCACGTTCACCTCCCAGGCGTGGTTTTCAGCAACGGGGAGCGCGCCAAGCAGCTCCGGCGCTTCTCCATCGCCACCCTGCGGGACTTCGGGGTGGGCAAGCGCGGCATCGAGGAGCGCATCCAGGAGGAGGCGGGCTTCCTCATCGAGGCCCTCCGGGACACGCAGGTGAGCAGGGCACCCCGAGGCGGGGCAGGAGCAGGAAAACGCCCAGGGCGGGACCCGCGCGCGCGCGTTCTGCCTGATGATGGGGACTCGGTGGGGAAAGGCCCCCGCACTTCCAGCCCTGGAGTCTGGCGCTGGGAATTTGGCTCAACAGGGCCCTGCCTCCCGGAATTCTGACTCTCCCAGACCTCTGAGTTGACTCTCCCCAACCCTTCTCCGGCCACACCCGCAGGCGCCAATATCGATCCCACCTTCTTCCTGAGCCGCACGTCTCCAATGTCATCAGCTCCATTGTCTTTGGGGACCGCTTTGACTGAGGACAAAGAGTTCCTGTCACTGCTGCGCATGATGCTGGGAAGCTTCCAGTTCACGCAACCTCCCAGGGCAGGTAACCGGCTGCAGCGCGGCCCGCGATGCCCCTACCACAACCTGTGCAACTGCTCCCCTACCTGGAGACAGGTGCCCCAAACTCCCACCCCCTCCAGACAGTGTCCCCTCAAAATCAGCCCCCAATATTGGACAACTGGGCAGTTGCACCAGAAACCAGGACAGATGCACAATACCCAGTCTCCAAGGACACCCGAATAGCTCAACAGATGCTCCCCAAAACAGAGCCTGCCAGCAGGATTCAAGCCCTCAGCTCAGCTCTCTTACCTGGGTGCATGTTCCCATCCCCAACTTACTGTTTCTAACAGGTACTCCCTACCCAGTTCTTCTTTTCACATCTACACAAATGTTCCAAATTAGCCCACTGGAATATCTGGCCAAGCACCCTCTACTTCACCCACTTTAAATACCTGAAAACATGGACAGCTGCCCTAACCAAGACCCGAAACACATAAATATCTAGACAAATTATTCCCCAGACACCCAAATAAGTGTTCTCCAACCCTTTGCAATCACACACCCTACAGAGGAGCTCCCAATGCATCCCACTTGGATACATAAACACCTGAACAGGTATCCCCTCCACTTTAACATCTTCACCAGCCGCGCTTTAATACATGAACACCTGAACAAAAGCCCCAGTCTGGACCCAGTAAGTATCTGGATAGTTGTCCCCAACCAAGTCCACTTAAATGCCTAAATACCTAGACAGGTGGCACTCCCCTCATACAAGCCACACTGAATAGCTAAACACCTGGACAGGTGTCTTCCAACTCGACTTCACTTGAATATCTGAACACCTAGATGTGTGCTCCAATCCAGCCTCATTTAAATACCTGAAACCTGGATATATGCCTCAGTTCTTCTCACCGAAATTCCTAGACTGTGGCCCTGGCACCTAACCCATGTGAAAACTTAGATATAAGTTCCCATCCAACCCCACTGAAATACCTAAACACCTGGACAGATGCCTTTAACTCAGTTCCTTCCTTGCTATGAAACAAGTCCCATTCCCATCAGCTCCAGGCCCCTGACAACTGTCCTTCGCTTCCCATCCTCTCTCTGCAACCCCCAGCTCTATGAGATGTTCTCTTCGGTGATGAAACACCTGCCAGGACCACAGCAACAGGCCTTTAAGGAGCTGCAAGGGCTGGAGGACTTCATAGCCAAGAAGGTGGAGCACAACAGGCGCACGCTGGATCCCAACTCCCCACGGGACTTCATCGACTCCTTTCTCATCCGCATGCAGGAGGTACACCCCAGCAGCCAGTGCGGGGAGATGCAAAGCCAGGCAGGGGGAAATCAGGCTGGGAGTGGGGCAGGTAGATAACACAGGGCCATTCAAATAGCCCTTGTCATAATAATCCTCACAATTGGCCGGACGCGGTGGCTCACGCCTGTAATCCCAGCACTTTGGAAGGCCGAGGCAGGTGGATCACCTGAGGTCAGGAGTTCGACCAGCCTGGCCAACATGGTGAAACCCTGTTTCTATTAAAAGTACAGAAATGGGCCGGGCGCGGTGGCTCAAGCCTGTAATCCCAGCACTTTGGGAGGCCGAGACGGGCAGATCACGAGGTCAGGAGATCGAGACCATCCTGGCTAACACGGTGAAACCCCGTCTCTACTAAAAATACAAAAAACTAGCCGGGCGAGGTGGCGGGCGCCTGTACTCCCAGCTACTCGGGAGGCTGAGGCAGGAGAATGGCGTAAACCGGGAGGCGGAGCTTGTAGTGAGCCGAGATCCGGCCACTGCACTCCAGCCTGGGTGACAGAGAGAGACTCTGTCTCAAAAAAAAAAAAAAAAAAAAAAAAAAACAGAAATGACCTAGGCATGGTGGCATGCGCCTATAATCCCAGCTACTCAGGAGACTGAGACAGGAGAATTGCCTGAACGCGGGAGGCAGAGGTCGTATTGAGCGGAGATCATGCCACTGCACTCTGGCCTGAGTGACAGAGCAAGACTCTGAAAAAAAAAAAAAAATCCTCATAATCCCAACTATATCAACCACTGCTGTTCCATCTACTGAGCCCTCACCCACAAGCAGGACTTGTGCACATGAATTAGAATAGCAAGCACTTCTACAGCACTACACGTGCCAGGCACTGTGTTAAGTGCTTTAAGATAGTCCCCACTGAACACTCACAACAGCTTTGAAGGAGGTTCAATCATGGCCCGATTGTACCAGTGAGGAAACTGAGGCCCAGAGAGTTGAAGTGTCTTAACTGAGGTCACACAATAAGGAAACCTTGGTCCCGCAAGCTCAAACCCTGGTGTCTCTGAGCCTAAAGCTGGTGCTTTAGCCACCAAGCTCTCTAACCGTTCATGCCGTGGTTATCAGACACACCTCTGTGGACAGGTGACCTGGCTTTACATTGCAGGGTCCCCACATCCATCTGGACATCAGTTTCCCATGGGGGAAGGCTTTAGGGAGTCTGAAGCTCAGGGAGAAAGGATCAAGGGAGGAGATTCCTCCACAGTAAGTGTCAAGATTTTTAGGGAAGAAATAGGATGCTGTTGCTTAAAGTTCTACGCTTGTTCTTAGAAAAACTTTTTCCTGACTCTTCATCTTGCCGTCTCTGTACTACTTTCTCTTCGTCTCCCCTCATCATTCTCTTTCTAAATATTCCTACCATTAAAAAAGTAACAGACTGGGCAAATGAAAAAACCCCATCTGTACAAAAACTACAAAAAAAATGACTGGGCATAGTGGTACATGCCTGTGGTCCCAGCTACTCAGGAGGTTGAGGTGGGAGGATAGCTTGAGCCCAGAGTGGGCAGAGGCAGCATGAGCCAAGATCACGGCACCGCACTCCAGCCAGGGTGACAGAATAAGACCGTGTCTCAAAAAAATTAATTACTTTTAAAAAATTAACAAGTGAGCCTGCATGGTCATGTGCATTTGCAATTCTAGCTACTCAGGAGGCTGAGGCTGGAGGATTCCTTGAACCCAGTTCAAGTCCACCCTGTGCCACTTAGCAACGCCAAGTCTGTATAAGAAAAAAAGACTGACAGCTAAGTTGATAATTAAAGGACAGACGGTCAGCGAGGTAAAGAAGCTGAGAAGGAAGAGCATTTTGGGCAAAGCCAGCAGCCAGGGCAAGGGCTGGAACCTGGAGCGAGTCGGCAGATCTAGGGTCCCTCTTTCCACCTTTCATCTGGACCAAAGAGAGGAAGATTCAAAGGAGAAGCCCTAGAAGGGCCCCAAAAGCATGGGAAGTGAGGTTGGTCTAAAGCCCCCTCTCCCTGCAGGAGGAGAAGAACCCCAACACGGAGTTCCACTTGAAGAACCTGGTGCTGACCTCGCTGAACCTCTTCTTTGGAGGCACCGAGACCGTCAGCACCACCCTGCGCTACGGCTTCCTGCTGCTCATGAAGCACCCAGAGGTGGAGGGTAAGGCTGGAGGGGGAGGGAAGTGGAGGGTTCCAGACCCTCAAAACTCCACTGACCCTGGTGCAATGTCCCCACCTGTCCCAGATCCCAGGACCCTGAGACGTGCCTTGCTCTCCAGAGACAGGGCAATATTCAGCTGATAGGAATCAGCTGAGTCTCACTGGCTATTAAAATACTGAAAATGTCTGCAGTGATCTGTCAGCCATTCCTCTCCCAAGCCCACTTAGTGCCACTATCTACTCCTCCGGATCATCTCCTAAGTTCCTCCCTGTGCCTCCCCTGTGATTTTGGCACAACCTGGTTAACAGGATCCTGCTCCAACAATGTGAATCACTGATGTCTGTTATGAGTGGTCTACCTCCGTGTCATTGGTGGAGCCATGTAATCCACCCCGTTTTACCTATTTGGACTATAATCCCTTCTCTGAGACCCCTAAATACCTAAACACATTCCCCATCTCCCCAAGCCAAGGTCCACGAGGAGATTGACAGAGTGATCGGCAAGAACCGGCAGCCCAAGTTTGAGGACCAGGCCAGGATGCCCTACATGGAGGCAGTGATCCACGAGATCCAAAGATTTGGAGACATGCTCCCCTTGGGTGTGGCCCACAGGGTCATCAAGGACACCAAGTTTCGGGATTTCTTCCTCCCTAAGGTACTGTCCCCCCACCCCCCAGACTACAGGGACGTCCAGCCTCTCTCTGTGTCCCCAGCATCCCACCCCCATTAGAAGCTTTCTAGACCCTGTCCCACTCCCTCAATCAGTCAAAGAAGACTTCCCCCACCACCACATCCATTCCACCTTCCCACTTAGAGACTCCTGAGTTCTGCATCTCCCAGACTCTTTGTGTCAGGAGAATCAACCCCATGTTCCCAAACTTCCTGTCTTAAGAAACAGGAGCCCCCTTTCCATTAGGCTTTTTGCCTTAGGGACACAAGTCTCAGGTCCCCCAAACACCCTGCCTAGCAGGACATGGACCCCATGTCTCCCAAACTTCCTGTTTCAGAGACATGAACCTTCTATCCCCCAAAGCTCCTCCCTCAGAGGTCCCCAACTCCTCCATGCCTGCCACTTCCGCTTACCTGGGGCACCTTAGTTCCCCCTCCAGCCCCTGTGTACTTTCACCAATCCCCCAACCTGCCTCATCACACACACCTTCCTCCTCCCTCCCAGGGCACCGAAGTGTTCCCTATGCTGGGCTCCGTGCTGAAAGATCCCAAGTTCTTCTCCAACCCCCAGGACTTCAATCCCCAGCACTTCCTGGATGAGAAGGGGCAGTTTAAGAAGAGTGATGCTTTTGTGCCCTTTTCAATCGGTAAGAGACCACTGTTTGCTGCCAGGCCACTGCTCACACCAGCAGGCGCCTCCCTCACCCAGCTCCCCTCTGTGCTGTGTAGTCTGGTATTTCTCCAGCTTGGAAGTTCCTGTTAGAATCTACCCTTAAGCCACCAACTGATACTTCCTTAACCACCAACCACCCAATACCTGCGCCCAGGTAAAAGGAAGGAAACATCTTCCCCGTAGATTTATTTGTCTAGGGTCACACAGCAGATTCTTCAGATCCCTGAAAAGGAGATAATGGCACAGCACAGCAGTCATATTTGCAAGTGTGTCTCGCAGGTAGGGGCATCTAAACCTCCCATTGCTACACCTGGCATGGATCATCCATCTCTGATGAATGCGTGACATTATGCCTTTTTCAAAACCCGTAGAACTGTACAACACAGAGTAAACCCTAATGTAAACTATGGACTTTGGTCAGTAATAATATATCAATATTGGTTCACCATTGTTATATCTCTTATAGAAAGAAACTGAGGCTTCTCTGAAAGTCTCTCAGGCCATAATATTCCACCTCTCCTCCCTGGGAGAGCCGCAGCTGGGGTCGGTAGTGGGGCGAGGCTGCACTGAGAGTGGGCTTCACCTCCACCCCTCCCGCCTCTCCTCCTCAGGAAAGCGGAACTGTTTCGGGGAAGGCCTGGCCAGAATGGAGCTCTTTCTCTTCTTCACCACCATCATGCAGAACTTCCGCTTCAAGTCCCCCCAGTCGCCCAAGGACATCGACGTGTCCCCCAAACACGTGGGCTTTGCCACGATCCCACCAAACTACACCATGAGCTTCCTGCCCCGCTGAGGGAGGGCTGTGCTGGGGCAGGTCTGGTGGGCGGGGCCAGGGGCGGGGCTCACGGGAGGGGCGGGACTAAGAATGGTTGCAGGATAGGGGAAAGGAAGACTATGGTTAGAGGGAAGAGAAGAAACAGAAGGGGCTCAGTTCACCTTAATGATGTCCTTCAGAGCTGGGATGAGAGGAAGGGAAACCTTATAGTATGCTATGGAGAGTAGTAATAATAGCCGCTCTTATTTCCTGAACAAGTACCTCCATGTCAGCTTTGTTCAAAAAGCGTTGCACGTTCACCTCACTTAATTGCCACAAACCTCTGCAAAGAGGAACAGCACTCATGCCCATTTTACACGTGACAAAGCTGAGACTCAAAAGTTGTCTCTATCTGATGTCTCACAAAACATATGCGCCCAGAAAATCTTTGAACACAGATCTGTGCCCATAGCCCTCTAGAAAGATTCTTAAAAAGCACCCTACCTTATGTAAAACAGCTTAGTATAGCATCAGACGTCCTGAACATCCCTGTCCTGAGGGTTTTTCCAGAGACCTGAAGGGTGGCTGTCCTACCTTCACTGCACACTTGCCCACACTCTCACCTACTCAGCATGCTTTGAATACCGGGGTACAGTCTGAGCTCACTACCAGGTAAGGCCACTGTGGCCCACTCAGAGTCAGTACAGGGACACAATGAGACATGAATGGACATACAGAGTCAGTCCATTGACAATTCTTTTGCACAGCAGAAGTTTTTAATTTTAATGACTTTCTGTCATTGTATCTCTTAAAGAAAAAGTTGAAGGAGAGAACCACTTTCAGAGAATGCCGAGAGAACTCTGGATGAAGATGTACCTTATGCATGTGTGTGATCATGTGCAGGTGTGCATGTGAGCATATGACTGCATATTCTTCTCCGTGTATGCATGAAACACATTCCACTATGTGTTTCTGAAGGTGGGGCTCTCCTGATGGATCTGGGGTCCATTGTAAGACCCAGTTAAGAGTTTCACAGTCACTGCCCACTCTCAAGGAAGTTAGTGTATGTCCCCCTTAGAAGCTGCCTTACGGCATTCACGAAAATTAACTCAAAGTTTATCATAGACCTAAATGAAAAGTGAGTATAAAATTTCTAGAAGATAATACAGGAGAAAATCTAGATGACCTTAAGTTTGGTGATGACTTGTTAGATACAACACCAAAAGAACAATCCTTGAAAGAAGCAATTGATAAGTTCTGTGTCATTAAAATTAAAAATTTCTGCTCTGCAAAAGAATTGTCAAGAGAATGACAATACAAGCTGCAGACTGGGAGAACATATTTGCAGGGAACATATCTAAAGGACTTACATTCAAAATACACAAAGAACTGTTAAACTCGACAATAGAAAACAACTCAATTAAAGAATGGGCAAACAATCTGAGCAGACACCTCACCAAAGAAAATATACACATAGCAAAAAAGAATAAGGAAAGATGCTCCACATCATATGACAGTAGCAATTTCAAATTAAAACAATAGTTTTTTTTTTTTTTTTTTTTTTTTTGAGACAGAGTCTCGCTCTGTTGCCCGGGCTGCAGTGCAGTGGCCGGATCTCAGC